TTCGTCAATCAATAAGGTGATTCACACTTTGATATAGTCTATTTATATCAAATACTGCTTGTATTATCTGATGCCCATACTCCAAACGCTTCCGTTTGGTGGTCCTTGGAATTGCAGGTCTGTATTGAAGTATTGTTGGAGAGCGAGCAAACAGGATTATGATGTCTTACGGGGGGTCCATGCCGATATTAAAGTGTAAATCGTACCCTAGGGTGTTCCCTCCACTTGGGAAACGGTGCATTACGTTCGAATTAGCCATCAAGACGATGTATAATGTGAATTTCGTTTATCTTTCTCTGTTGACACTACAGACGTCCGCACAGTTTACCGTATTAACAGTATGCTCACATGAACTACGTGCGGAAACCAGTTTGTGGATCCTTACTGTACACGCCGTAATATCAAAAACAAGTGCCATCACTATCTGGTGCTAGTCCTGTAAATACACACTTTTCGTCCAGTTGGTCTGGGCGTTATGCAGACAATTTGATTAATGTATGATACAAGAAAGAGATTTAGTATGTACCAGACTTCTACCTCGTCAATCGACGTACTGGAGGATCGACTATGTAATTTTGTATTGCGAGTGATGATGAACGGTCCCTTCTTCTCAAACCCGAATCCTAGTTAATAGCTTCAATTGAGCATATCAAAGTTGAAGGCGGATTTTCATGTAAATTAGAGTTCAGACATTATCTGCAAAAACTGTACAATCGTTTTTGTAATTCGATACAAGAAAGTCTTAGAAACTAGACCTGGGTACAATAGAAACCGCACCTAGTAATATGCGGGAGGCTTTATGAGGATAAGAGTAAAATGTTGTGGCGCAACAAGTAACACCCTAAACTAGAGTATGTCGCTCTCAAACTAGAACGCCCTAAATTGCACCAAACTATCGGCATCTCCATTGTCATGATCTCGGATGCATCATTTTGCTCGTTTCCTTACTTTTCATGTTCCTATGAATGTAACGCAAACGAACTTTACAACATACATATCTTACAATAACTAAATTCCGTAGCGTGGACATTTCCTATCATGGCGAGAATATTGCTTACTCTTCTGTATTCTGTGCAAGTTTACAGACGGCTTTGTCGTCAGTTCTGTTCTCTGTGGTATCTACTCAAGCGTATGCTCAGCCAGTAACTTCTATCTTTTTTTACGTCCGCCTAGGCCGTTGACCACCACCGTCAATATGAAGGTTGCTCTACTTCACACTGCCACACCGCCGTCTTGTACAGCTATTGATTCTTTTTAGAGAGTAAGAAGTTCCGAAAGTGTAGCTCAATTGAACAAGAAAAAGAAGGACGAATAGGACCAGTCGTGGGGCGAGTCTTAAACAACTATTTCACCTGCACTCGCCGATGGAAGCCCCCAAAATAAGCTACAAGTGTTTGCGTAAAGTGATGTCAGGCACAACCATTAGAGCAAATAAGAGAAATTTGAGTCTTGAGTCTGAAGGCAGTTTTGAATCGAACCTACCTCACGGCTATGCACAGTCGGCGACTTTTCCCGACAGACTCAAAGTTCGCGGTCAAAATGCAGTTCAAAACGCAAACACGTTAAGAGCGAAGTGAGTCTGAATCCTGTCTTGCTTGATAATCACTCTGTTGGGCGATGCGGGACGTCGAGGTACAAGAAATCACCGTGGACGTGCTCCCTGCTGACAGGGAGCGATATGCAGCCCGCGTAATGAAGTACCTGCTTCGAAGATTTACCCCACTCAGAGCAGTCGTGATAGCGCTTCAGTGGAGAGGCAACAACCGCGTCATACGAGGCAAAGACGCGGGAAAGTTTTTGCTTCTCATCAGGCAACATGGAGGATGCCGAGCGTGGCAGATGGCCCTAGCTCTAGGCTACTTTCTACACCGAGATCTGCTCGTGCTTCCCATGATCACGTTCGACTTGAATAAGATGTCGGACACGGACTGTCGGACGCGTTTTCGGTTCGACCATGACGGGCTTAAGAGGCTCGTCGTTTTGATGCAGATTCCAGAGGATTTTGCT